AGTACTTTATAATAAACATATAACTTTTATAAGACTTATCTCCTAAAACCTCCGACATCGTCACATTTACAGCCCAAATCCAAGTTTTCTTCAGTTCCCATTTCTTTTTAACTCTAATTTCTTCATGAAACATCATCATGACATTAGTGTGAAAGTTAATGCTTTCAAAGTTGTACATGCTTATAACATATCTTTTAAGAACTCTATTTATGTCTCTAACAATTTTAATACTTCTTGCATCATACTTTGCTTTCCTTCTTCCCAAAGTAGAGGTGAATAATTGATTTACTTCTTTATCCTCTTCAGGAGGTCTATAAGGATAGGAAGCTTCTAACTTTGGTCCAGGATCTGTATAAATTTTTTGCAGTTCCTGCAAAGGTTCCATGAGACCATGCTCAAGAAGATTATCATCCTCGGGATCCTCCTCTTGATCCATCTTAAAATCCTCATCAATATCCATTTCTGGATTTTCCTCAAGGTCGGTCCCCAAATCCTCCATGGGATCTACCTTAGGGTCCATTTCTAAATCCTTTTCAGGATCCAGCTTTAAGTCCTCCTTAGGGTTCATCTCTAGCTCCTCTTCAGAGCCTTCACTTAACGATTCATTTTAGGAAAGCTCATTATCCATGTATTCTATGTTAAACGAATCATAAGCATGAGTTTTAGTGCCTAAAGAAATCTCTTGCTTCATTTTTACCTAAAATAAAAATAATTTTAAGAATTTTTAAAAAATAAAATCAATAAAAAACACTAAAAAAATTCAAACATAAATCCTAAATTGTCCTTCCAAATAGGCAAATTATATATCATAATCAAGCTCATAAATTTATCATTTTTTAGAGAGAAACCGCACCTCAAACAAAGGCTCTACGCGCCCATATGCACCCCAAGAAGAATAAATCTTCAGAAAATGAAATTTTTTTGAAAGCCCACTCTCATGATCGACACATGACTGTCATGTGTCGCCATGCAGGTCTCTGACAGTGACACGTGCTATGCTGATGAACTCCACGTGCCACCACCTTTTAGATGGTGGTATCCATGTGTTGAATAGACTTGCCACGTGGTAACTCTGGCCCTTTTTCTTCTTTTTTTTTAATTATATATTCATTTTTTTGGTTTTTGGGCTAGAATGTTTGTGGGATTTTTTTGAATTGGTTTGGACCTTGAGAATTACTGGACAAGACCAAAAAAATATAGTTTTTTTGGTTTTTTTTTAATCCATGGGCCAATCTAGATTTTTGGGCTTGAGGTCTTTTTTAAGTCCACTTAGCAAAATGCTGCATTTTGCTAAGTGAAGGAAGAAGACCCCTCCAAGCAAAATGACACCATTTCATCTGGAGGTCATCTTCAACCTCCAATCGGGTCATTTTAACCTGGTTTTGTGAAACGGGTTAGGTTTGATAGACCCTTCAGACCCAAAAACTTCTTTCCTCCATAACTCCACTGTCCGTAGTCCAAATTTTGTGTTCTATATGTCATTTTCTTTGTTTTTTGATCCTCTACACAATGGGATAGGTTGTAGGGCCTAAAAACTTGATTTTAAAGAGACCTAAATTTGAAAATCAAAACCACCAAAAATGATTTTTATATATTATGAATTTCATGAGGCAGCAAATAACATAGTATTTCCACTTATAAATATAAGTCACAGATAATAATTATACTGAAAATAAAAAAGAGAATTTGCATAATGTATTTGAAGCAAATCTCATCATTTTGGAACTGTAACTTAAGAAACCAAGAAATCTAGATGGAGCAGTAAAAAAAATAAACACAGACCACAGGAAAAATCAAAACTCTGATACCATTATTAGGTTTTAGACATACCTGGAGGTGATATTCGGTATGTTTTTTACCTATAGAAGTCTGTTCACAAATATGGATACAGACTTATGGTTTACAGCAAATGTATAGAGAGGAAGAGTTTTGGAGAGAAGTTTTTTAAGGAAGAGAAAGAGTTGTTACTCTGCAAATTTTTCTCATCATGCGTATATCTTGATATGCACATACTCCCACTCACAAATAACCATTCCCACCAAAATTCAAATTGAAAATTGGGTATTTTATTAATATCTATCCTAATCTTTTGGTAAATTACAATTGAACCTCAAGCCTCTTGGGCCTAGGCCTAATGCACCGAGGTGGATTAGGTTTTATTCCAACAATATCCTTGATCAACCCCTTATCTCTACTTCAGGAAGCAATGATTGATGAGGCAAGTTAAACTTGTTTAACTATCTAGCCTTCTTTTTGTTGAGTAGTCATACAGTTTATATTCAAAATGAAAAAAGAAAGAAAGAAAGAAATGAGAAGATGATGGAGACGACTAGAGATATTATCCTCCTCGTCTCTACTATATGGTAAGTTCCAAATAGTGTACTTCACGGTCAAAGTCATCCAAATCATTATCTACATCTAGTCTATAAGCTAATTGGCGATTGAATTTAATTCTAATTATAAGACATCAATTCATTTTGCCTCACTTCTTACCTCAAAATATCTCTATTAATTGTAATAGGTTCCTACTAAGGGATGATTCCAATAATCCAATATACATGATTGAAGAAAATATTTTAGGAAGACCAACACATATTTATGACAAATAACCAATTTAACTGATTTTCTTAATATATGCTAATTAGTTATATAACTCTTATATTATACACAAAATGTAGTAGTTTGTTGTGTTGCTTTCCCTTTTAGAAATATTTTTGTGTCCTTTTTCCTTTTATCAATTGTATAAATAACTCATATTATTTACAATATTATAGAATTAGTGGGAATTTAAGCAAGAGTAAGAAGAAATTTAGAAAGACAAAACTGCTTGAACAACAATGCCCCTAGTTCCGGTTGGAGGAACTATGCTATCCTTGAAAATCTACAATTCTCAAGGAACCGTCTAAGGAGCCACTCGTGTAGCTAGAGCCCGAGAGAGGCAAATTCTGTTGCTGATTGGGTAGCTAGAGCCTTTTTGGCTAGGTCTTGCCCGACTGAATGGGTGATGAGACCGCCACCTCTTTTGCGTAAACTTATAGAATTTGATTTATGCAATGCCAAAACTAATTTAGGGTGATATTTATCTTGCTTTATGGTGATCTCACAAGACTTTGTACTGTTGATTTATTATGGAATGAATTATTGTTGGCAAAAAAAAAGAGCCAATTCATTTTGAAGGTTGATACATGAATATCATAAATACAACCCTTTAAATTAAAGAGTTGGATTCATATACAGACATCAAAAAATACGATGATGTTTTTACTTACATACGATTAATAAATAATCTGATTTATTACTACTTTTATATAGATAGAAATATAGAAAATATAGATTAGAATATCGGGTTTTTTCTTTGTATAAAACTTGAAGTCATACTTTTTCTTTTTTTTCAAAAAGAAATTTTCTAGATTTTATAAAAACATATATAAATAATAAAAAATATTGAAAAGATGGGGCAAAAGTTTATTTAAACTTCAAATTAATATGCAATTATAAATCACTCAAAAAATTAATTTTAATTTGGCTAGAAATACTTATGACTGGGTGGGCAGTATTTACACCTTTGAAGGTGGTAGATGATAAAAGGAGTTTGTCTCAACCTATGGATTAGCTTGTAATCTGAACTTATTAAAAAAAATAATTTAACTTTTAAAAATTCAATTATTGTATTAAAACTAAATTTTTTATCTAGTATTTATTAAACTAGACACTATATATTAATCATGTTTTTGTTAATAAAAACCATATTGGAAGAGCTACTGCACTATTTAGATTAGGTAATATTCAAATTTGATCAAGTAATACTAAATACATAACAAATAGTCATACCACAAAATATATGCAAAAAAGTGTATTATTCACATACTATAATAAAGAAGCCCCACCATCTTGCATGTAAATTTTGAATTTTAAAATTTTGAAAGTTAAAACCATTTATGAGTTGTGTTATATATTATGTACATTTTTATTCACAAAATATAACATAGGTTTTCCTTTTTTGATGATGCTATGAGCTAATGACCATTAAGGTTGGAACCATAGACAACATGCAAACTTCACTCATCCCCTTATATTGTTGAGTTTTGACCAAGCTGGCTACATATTATCAATTTTTTTACTAGGTTCGATTCTTAATATAAGAGCTTTTTTGACATTTAATTTGGTTTTAAATATAAGACTTAATCCACTTTATCTCTCATATTTATCTATTTTTTTAAGGTAGTTCTTGTAGTAGTTACATATGTTAAAAGTTTTATCAAATATTAGTTCTAGCTAATACATATGATTAGTAAGAGTGTTTTAGGAAAGACAACACCTATTTATAACAAATAACTAAATTAACTAATTTTTTTAATTTACCTAAACTAGTTAACTAGTTCTTATATTAAGGATGGGCTGTAATATTAGCTAAAATAATTTATAAGGTGAGGATGAGAAAACAATTTGATCACATTGAATACAGTAATTAATTTATCAAATAACTTCGCTGTCTAGTGGTAGGAAAACTCTCCTATAAATGGGATGTCTAGAAAAACTCTCCTAAATTGAATGTCGTGAGTTTGATCTTGTTAAACCCTTGTAATTCTAGTTTGCTACTCTTTTCTTGGATGGAAAGAAAAGTTGAGAGGAAAGAAAATACAGAGAAGAGAAAACTAGGACGAAAATATTATCAGTCATCCTACTTGAATAAATGAGAGAAAATAAGGGAGAAGAAAATAAGTAAATATGAGAATGACTAAAATACCCTTATTATGTACACATAGCAAAGAAATTAAATAATTTAGCAAAAGAAAATTATTCTTTTGAGGTAAAAAAGGGGATAATTTTTATATAAAATAAAATAAAATAAAATATATATTATCCAATATTTTAATAAAATGATAAAAATCGAATGAAAAGAAAGACTATAATAACATGAGAAATTGATACCATGCAAATATCACTAATAATACCCTTAAAATTAATCTTAACACTTACAAAATAAAATGCTTTACACCATGATCATGGAAGGTTCTAAGGGTAATAAATTTATTGGGTGAAAATCTCTAGACTTTTGGAGTGAAATCAGTTTTTTGGGGGTGGGGTCCCCTCCCAATACTTTTTTTTACTTTCCTATTTTCCTTTTCATCCAAATAAGAAAAAACTCTATTCCTCTCTCAATTTTTACCACACTTTTCTCTCATCTCCCATTTTCTCTCAATCATTGCATGTCATAGGGTATGCCTCTCTAACTCCAAAAAGAATATTAATTAAAGATTAAAATAACAACACTAAAATAGATTTTTTTTAAAAAAAAAAATAGTGATAGGCGCAAAGATGTGGATGGAATCCCACACTTGATGGCACAAAAAGCATCTTATGAAAATTGCAGGTAGATGGATCCGTACTTTCCAATGGTATGAGCGGCTGCGGGATGTTATCAAAGATGAAGCTGGAAGATGGCTTTTCGAATTTAACAGCAAATTTTCAGCGGTTCCCTCAGTTATGGCCGAGCTGATAGCCATCATTCAGGGACTAAACCTCTGCTGGTCAAAGGGGTACAGAAACGTTGTGTATTCAGATTGTCTTGAAGCCACAGACTTTCGTACCAAGGGTACTGATTGTAATTACCTTTTTATAGATCTAGTAGATGTTCGGGTGTTTGGCACCCTCAAAGGGATTGACAGGTTTTGATCCTTTATGGTCCTAGAGGGAACTTGATCACTCTTGATTGCCTAGCAAAAGCTTCCCACAGTATGGAAGCCAGTTTTTGCATCCTTACTCAATGTCCACCTAGCTTAGAAGGAGTGGATCTTGATGAAGGAGGTTAATTGCTGTACTGCCTTGCTTGTTTTTTGTTTAGTATGATATCCAGTTTCTCATTAAAAAAAAAATGCATCTTATGCCACTAGCCCCTGTAATCTTTAGCTTAAAATTTTACCTTTTTTTTTTTTGGAATAAACTGAATACAAACTAACAACTAAAAGAAGAAACAAAGCTAAAAAAAAGCTAAACAATTAACTTCAGACAACAAGGGCTCTCAAAATTGTACTTCTCAAATAAGGATAAATTAAAATATATTAATCTCTCCTAATTATGGGGACAATATCTTTTTATGTAAACAGCTTCACGAAACAAATAAAGAAGAGAGAGAGAGAGAGACAGAGAACAGTTGGAAAACTTATTTACAATGGCTTCGTCTCATTTTTCTCTCAGCCCAACAAACAGTCGTGTGAATCCACTTGAGCAGAAACCTAAAGTGACTCCAGAAGACTGTCTGGTTGAGAATATCTATCTAGTTCCTTTCACATTTTCTATTCTTCAACTCTCAACACCGACGTTGTTCGCTTCAGTGATTCAATAGACAACAAAATCGTCATCGCCACTTATTCCAATTCCATCCTCTCTTCTGCTCTCTCCTCAAAGTTTCAGCCCCAAACTATACTCATTTCTCTAATGGAAGATGCGCCTTCTTCTTCTTCACCTTCAACTTCTCAGCTTCAAGCGGAGGAAGCTAATCCTGACTCTGACAACTCAAATGAACAGAATCATCAACCACTTCATTCTTTGTTTTATAGGGTTGACATTTCCATGGCCAATCCACATCTTGCTTCTATCAGGGATGATGTCTGGTCTTGCCTCATCATTCTCGTCACTCTCTGGTTGGTCGGTTAGTTTGTTTCTTCCTCATCTTTCTTTTGATTTTATATTATTTTCATTTCCCAATATCAGATTGCAAATCCACTCATACTGACCAATGAATTATTAACTAACTTTTCTTGTCGGTTTCACGCAGCAACAATGGGTCTGGTTCTGGGGATTTATGGAACAACAACGTTGGAATTAGGTCCTTACTCCTCAGTTTTAGTACAAGTCAACTCAATGTTTGTACAGTCTATCAAGGTCAGAGTTTGCCTTTCATCTCTGTTTTTTTTTTTTTTTTTAAGTGTGAATCACTTTTATTCAATGATTCATGGACAAAAAGGTGGAACAAATTGATGAACCAAAACATGGGATAATGCTATATGGATTGGATGAAGCACCTGCGCTTGATGATCTCAAAACCAATTGGTCTGGGTCATATAATGGATCTGTACCACACAATTTTTACAAGGCAAGTTTTACCTTTTCTGTTAACTTCTAGCCTTTTTCCCCCCATTATATTCTTTGATGAGCCAGAATTGAAACTTGATGGAATCTTACAGGAATGGATATTCTACCTCAACAAACAGTCTCAGTTAGATATCTTTTACAATGTTAAGTCCCCAAGATTTTCACATTTGTCTCTTGTTATTGCTCAAGGTAAGCTCCCATTTTCTTCTAGCAATTCTGTTCACTTTGGTGATCATGGATTGTATTAGTTTTTCAAATGTGTTGATGATGGTAACCTAGTGGCAGAGCTTATGGTTTAATGAAATTTCATACTCCTTCCATCCCTTATTATAACATGTATTGTACTGATTATGAGCCAATCATATATATACATATATATAAGACCTCAATTCACTTTGTCTCCCGGATTTATAATTCATTCTCTAAAGTATCCCCATTAATTACACACATTAAAGGGTTTTCATCTAAGAGTAGTCATGATTAAGTCTGTACCTAATTAATGGCTTCTGGTTGCATAAACATGCAATGCAGGTAGAGAAGAGCTTTATGGGTGGATAGAGAAGCCCACGTTTCCTAACAGAACATTATATTGGAATATTATTTATGGTATGAAAATCTCTCACTCATCATCTTCTCCTATCTGCTTCTTTTTCCGTTTCTGATATAATATTTATAATCCACATGCTTGTTTTTTTTCCCCCCTCACTTTCAGGTAAGAACAAGATCAGCCAGAAAATATCAGATCCATTTTCTTATTATGTAGGACTTGGTAACTTAAACTCTGAAGATGTGGAGGTGATCAAAAGATCTTCTTTTTCTCATTATTTCATTAACTTTACCCCTTATAAGCCAGAAAAATTAAGAACAAAATTGTCTGTCAAAAGTGAAAATGATGGTGATGAAGTGTTTGTATAGGTAGAATTGAAGTTCAGTGTGAGGTCAGTTCAGTATAATACAAGCAGTGCAAGCAGCAGATGTTCACCAGATAGCAGTTTGTGTAGATTAGATCTTTATCTCTCACAGCCTGGTTCTTTAGTATTGACTACTCCACCTCCTTCACAGGTAACCATATGCTCATGCTATTTTTCAGCTTTTTCTTTCTCTATTTCGAATAAAATTAAGGATACAATATTATGAGACTGTCGGTAAATGATCTATTAGTATTATGAGTATAAGTTCAGAGGGCCAGACAATCCCAAGAGATTAACCTTTGGGGAAGAAGAGCTCTTTGAATTTATAAAACTCACTTTTCTTGCAAGTCTTCTGACGTGGGACACATAACAATTATATTACTTCATTTGGTATTTGTGAAAGCCAAGAGGGGAAGAGGAAAAGGGGGGATTTTTTTTTTTTTTAGACAATATGTATTACTTACCCTAATCTTAAATATAGAAACTACTTAAAAGGTTTACTTCGATCTTGAGGGTTTACTTTGGTCCTAAGTATAAAATTTTAATTTACTTTATCTCACCAATTTATATTTTTCTTTTCCAAACTATCCTTATTGCATGTATTAAGAGGTTTCCTATTACGGGGTAGTTTCAATGCAAATGATTGGAAAGGTTATTTTAGAAAACAACACCATCTTTTACAAAAAATTAACTTAACTAATTTCTATGAGTTAATTATTTAGCCCCTATATTAAAGACAAGATGAAATAGATCTTACTATCATTATTCAACTGTACTTGATAATTGTCAAAATCTAATGTTAACTCCTCAAGTCAAGCGAGCTCACAATTTTAGCAAAGAAAAGTGAGTTGACTTGTAAAGATCCATGGAACTCAACTGTGTTTTGAAAGTATAACTCCAAGACTAACCTTGATCAGTAATTGATACGTGAATTTCAGGGAAATTTTGAGGAAGAATGGTTTCATGTGAAACTGTCCTATGCACCAAGGTGGATCACTTACTTTGTAGCATCAGGTTAATTAATTATTAATCTTCACAATCACAATCTTCTCTTCAAAACTTCATTAAAAAAAGGAAAAACACAGAATTCTGAAATGAAAAGTTGATTGATGCAGGTATGATGACTGCACTGATCTTCTTGCTCTTGAGATGCTGCAATGTGTTCCAAAGATATGGGTCATCAAACATGGAAAGCTTCCAACAAGTTCGTGTAGTTTCAGAAAGAGCTCCATTGCTGGCTAGCATCAGGAACGACGGCGTTTCGAGCTTGGGTTCATCTTATGAGTCTTTCACTAGTGAGGAAGAAGATCTCACAGAGTGGCTTAAAGGGAAGCCATTGATGAAGGAAGGAGAAGGTGATAATAATAGTATGAAGCATTTGTGTGTGATTTGTTTTGATGCTTCAAGGGATTGCTTCTTTCTTCCATGTGGCCATTCTGCAGCCTGCTTTCATTGCGGAACAAGGTAATAAACTAAACATCTTACCTACCTTCTAAACTATACTTACACTGCTATTCACATAATTCATCCCAGCTAATGAGACAAGGTTTGTTATTATTATTGTTATATTAGGAACATTTTGGGAGAATCCCAAAGACATACCATTTAAATTTCAAAATTCTAAATCAGTCTTATTTCCTACCTTTTTATAATAGTGGACTACAGCTAAGAGCACAAATGACAATATATTGTTATAGGAATTTCTAATTTGAATTTTGAAATTCAAGTAGCATTTCTTTGGGATTTTTCCAAATATTTTTGGCTGGTTAGATTCTAGGTTAGAGTAAGCCCAATGAATCAAATTGTGTTTATATAAGTATTTATATAACCAACAAAGGTTGGATTTAGTGGAAAGGGTTTATTCTTCACAACGTGATGAATCAAGATTAGAATTTCTATTAAGACAAGTATGCACATTTAGTTCCTGACAGTGTCTTAAATAAGATTGCCTCTAATAAGAGAATACCTATACATAGAAAAAAAGTATTTATATAATTAGGAATAAGATTCTTATATTAGTAATGAGATTCTAACTGGGATCCTTGTAGGATACATATTTTATTAGTTCTTACTAGTTAAATGAGCACTTTTAGAGCAAGATGTTTCACTAGATAATAATAAATTTAAAGTTTTATTTTTTTTAAAGGGTCATAGTGTAAATTTGTCTTGTAAGTTTTCACTTAGAAATTTTGGGTATTCAGAAGTTTTTTTAAAGCAAATTTGTCCTGAAAGTTTACAATCATGGCAATATTGCCTATTACTGTTAAAATGTTAATGATCAATATTTTAACGGTCAATGTTAATTTTTTATGACAGTGGGCAATATTATTACAATTTTAAATTTTTAGGACAAATTTGCTCTAAAAAAAAAATTTCAGATCCTCAAAGCCCCTAAGTGAAAACTTCTTGAACAAATTTACACAAATATTCAAATACTAAATCAGTAAACTAACACGTCACTTACCTTAATCTCTTGTATTTTTGGTTGACGAGTAGAGTTATTTTGGCAATGCAGGGTTGTTGATGAAGCCAGTCCTTGTCCTATATGCAGAAGGAAAATTAAGAAAGTACGAAAAATTTTTACGGTTTGATTAAAATCTTCTGTATATAAATGTACATTGTACCAATATTAATTATAAAATTGAAAGGTTGGATTTGCGGCTTACTTAATTTGATAGTTTGATCAAAGTTATTTAAAAAAAAAAAAAAAACGGGTTGATATAAAACTACTTATATCCTAATTTTGTTCTTCTAGGTAAGAAGTTAGTTTCTTTTTTGGCCAAAGTAACAAGTTAGTTTCTAAAGTCTGTGATTTGTTAAACGCTAATAGTCATATTAAGCACTATTCTGAAAATTAAATCCGACTAATCAATGAACATGCGTTAAATTGGACGGATTGAGATCAAATTGGCTGCAGTTAAATTAACATATTTTCTGAATCCTAACACTATAAATTGAGTCTTATTTTTAGGAAGAGCATTCTTTTAATTTTTTTTAATATTAGAATTACTCCTTTCATTTTGAAGATATTTTTTACCTAACAAACACTTATTGAGAAAAGCAGATAAGTGGCTAAGAATTTAATTTATTTTCATTTCTACTCTTATTTATGAGAAATATGCCATGGCAATGAAGAGAGGTAGGTAATCTTAAATCTTAATACACTCTTGCGGCAGTATTTTGGGAAAGACATTAATTACCCTAAAAAATTTACAAAATGTCTTTTATGTACCAAAAGAATAATATTTTTCAGCACACAAGGTTGTGTAAAAGAAGTTATGTCTTATAAAACTTAAAAGAACCTATTTAAGTTATTATAGGGTGTGCTTGGAATATGGTGATGGCTTTCAAATGGACTTCTCCGTTAAGCTGAAAAAAGTAATTTCAAGAGTTAAATGCATATCTGGATCCGCCCAGCCAGAACAGTGGGGTTCACATGAGATCAGAGAAAGAATGCTTTAACGTTGCTGCTGGAGAGAGAATCCATTTAGTGATATCACCCTTGAATTCAATTTTTCGTTTCAGCCCATTGAGTTCATTTTTAAGATTAATGAAATCATTTTTTATAAAGTACTTGTATTCTGATTTAGATCATTCTCACTAATTATATTTTCAATAGGAGGACTTTTTTCCCAATTTTTTCTAAAATTTAAATATATTATTTTTATTTTAATTATAATTTCAATTATTCTCTAACAATTATCTCATTGTAAACATATAATATGTGCTATTCAATAAAGTTTAGGGAAAATTGCAAAAAAAGACCTTGGAATTGCAAAAACGCAGATAGGGACCCTTGACAACTTCACTTTGGGTTTTGACAACTTCAGGGCATATTATTCTTGTCAAAACCCAAAGTGAAGTTGTCAAGGGTCCCTATCTGCGTTTTTACAATTCGAAGGTCTTTTTTGCAATTTCTCCTAAAGTTTATATCATTTTCAGTTATCATACATCTAAACTTACTTTTCTATTAATTACTTAAAAAAGTTTTAACTTGTCAAACTGATTTTTTTCTTATAAACATCAATTCAAACATATTAATTGACTTTCACCTTAACTCGAATTTACAAAATTCAAATAAAGTAAAAATTACTTTTGTAACTGCTAATCCCAACACTGGGTTTAGTATTTGTGTTTGGATTAATTGACAGCAGAAGTGGCACCAAATTTAATTTTTAAAATACAAAAGTTCATCATGATTTACTCCTTGTTTGGATTGAAAGAAAATGAGGGAGGAGAGAAATCTAGAGCGGAAAACATAAGAAGAATCAAGTTTTCTCTTGCTTGAATATGGGAGAAAATGTGGGAGGAAGGAAAAGTGGAGGAGAAAATAAAATAGGTCTCATATCTCATTTTCTCTATATATATATGAAGAGATTTGGGAAGGAAAACAAGATTTTCTTGACTATCCATCCTCTCTCTTCCCCTCCATATTTATTTTCTTCTATTGTATTTAAAAAGTTATTCACTTTTTATTTTTATCTTAAAACAATATTTTTTTTAAATAATTTGGTTTGAAACATAATAATCTGAAAATATATATAAACCAAATAACTTGATTTTAAATTATTTGATAATGTTAATGTTAGTATAATTTTTCTATTGCAATATTTAATTTAATTTAATTTTAAATATAACATATTTTGATAAAGACATTTTAATCATTTAGATATTTGCTATTTTTTTCATCCAAGAAGAATGATAATAACTCCCTCTATTTTTTACTTCTCTCTATTTTAGGGTTAATAATAATAGGGTTAAAAGCCCACAGTGATTCTGTTTACGAATTTGCTCTTCTTCAGCAGTGAAATCATTTTCTATGCCAAAAATCTGCCGAATCTGCTCCAAGCTTTTCTCTTTGATCATATCCGCCATGCATACTCTGATAAGTGAGATCAAGCAAGCTTTGGATATCCAGAATGTTAGCTGCAATTAGCATATTCAGTACCATATCTATCTCTTCATTCACAAACTCAGCATTCCACCCCCTTTAGTTCCGCCGCGGCATCGGAGGCCCGCCGTTGGCCTCGGCGGCCCCCACCTTGTGATCAGCGTGCTTCTAGCAATACTCCATAACTTTCACCAATATTGGCGTGTCCACAGTGAACAATGGGACTTCGCCGGCCACGGAACAGTCCTCGCGTTTCAAATTTCAATAGCTCCGATTGCTTCGCACTCAAACTCGTCGACGCCGCCGCTCACCACCGTTATATTCTTCACTGATGAAGCCATTTGAACACAACCATGCGCTGTGTATGCATTCGTCCGTTCATAATAGTCTTAAAGAAACATTTCAATTTAAGATATAAAATTGGGAGAATTTCAGTAAAATCCCTTAGCAGTTAATTAATATCAATCAACCCTAAAAAAATTTTAAACTTTCAGTCCACCATCTTAGACCAAAATCAAAATAAAATTTAACAGTAAAAAGGCAATAATACCACTTTTTTATTTTTTAACAAAAATATTAACTACCACCACAGTTTTGGTGGCCGGTCGATTAGAACTCTGACCTCCAATGTCGCTTGTCAAGCGCTAGTGGTTGAACTCTTGACCTTGAGTGGCTCATCGCCAAAGGATTTTCCCAAATAAAGTGGTCAAGAGAGGTTTAAACCCAAGATTCTTTGGTACATCAAAAAACATGACCACTGAGCCAACAAAACCACTTAATTATGCAAAGAAAAAACAATATATATTTAACAAAATAAATACAAGTACCCAACTATAAATAAACAAGTGAAATTCAGCAATTTATAAGAAAATTTTGGCTATTTACAACATAAATTCTGTCATTGACAAAAAACATAAGTGATTCATAACTTGAAATGCAAATATTTAGGTGTAAAGGAACAAATAAATTTTGGCAGTTTATAACAAAAATTTGATAATTTACAACCTAAATTTGGTCATAAGTGAATTCATAACCTCAAATGTAAATATTTAAATTGAATGGACAATTAAAATTCAACAATTTATAACAAAAATTCATAAATTTACAATCCAAACTCAGCAATTTAAGTAGGGAAAAAAAAAGAAATTTACAATACCAAATACTAGGGGTGTTCACGGGACGGATCGGGACCGGGACAGACCCGTCCCGGTTCCGTCCCGATGAACAGTAACGGGACAGATTTTCTGTCCCGTGTCCCGGCCCGTCCCGGGGCCCGGTCAGGACGGGACGGATCCGGGACGGGACCGGGACGTCCCCGAAATATTTTTTTTAATTTTTTTTATTTTTTTTATTTTTTTTAAATTTTTTTAAAAAAATCTGATTTTTTAATTATATTTTTTTGAGCTTAAATCTTATAAAAACATCTTTTTTATTTGTTTGGGCACTCTTAAACAAAAGCTCAAAATATTACATATAATAGTTATTAAAAACTCTAAACAAAAGCTTTTAACACAATAAAAACTTGCTAAAAAATCTAATCATCAATAATCTCAAATCATTAACAAATATAAAAACTCTAAATAAATATATCCATAGTTCCATACAATAGTCTCAAATCTTAAAAAATATGAAAAAAATGATATTATATAAAAAGTTAAAAAAATTAAATTTTTTTTTTTTAAAAAGGGACCGGGACGGGACGACCCCGTCCCGTGTCCCGTCCCGTCCCGGTTTGTCCCGTCCCGAAAAATTTCGGGACGGATTCGTCCCGTCCCAATAAGACCGGGACCGGAACGGGCCGACCGGGACGGGCCGGCTTTGAACACCCCTACCAAATACAAGTGTTTAAGTGTAAATGAATAATGAGAGGTTCACTAAAATTCTCCCTATAAAATTTTGAGTCAATATAATTTTTAATATTTTAAATTTGTTTTCATTTTATTTTTGGTCCTCTCATTTTTTTTTCATTTAGAAAATTAGTCCCTCTAATTTAATAAAAATATTTTTTTTGAGAATATCAAAAAAATAATTTAATAAAAAAAATTGATTATTTTACTTGTTTAGAAACCAAAACCTATGATTTAAAACCTGAGACTAAAACCAAAATTTATGTAACCTTGAGCAACCAAACATTACATTTTAGTGTAAAATTTAAGGATAACATAGGAGTCGTATTTTTAATAATTTTAGCTTGATAATGAATACTAAAGTTTATTCATAAATTTTGGCTCCAACTATTAAAAGGCAAATCTGTGCATAGTGAAGGACTCCTTATCGTGAATGGTACATGGGGTTCACTTTGTATCAGGCCCATCTTTGCATCCTTTCAAGTGCCTTTGTATTTGCACCTTGACCAATTATGAACTTGACTGACTCATTCAATAGAGTACATGTGTTTTATTCAGTGTATCTTGAGACCCATTGGTTAACATGTTACCAGAGCCCAAGTGCTCATCTGGGTTTATAAGTCCAAGAATTTAGTCCACCCATCTCCTCCCATTCAAAAAATTTAGGGCTCTTCTTCTTCCCACCCAATCGGTCCTTTTGACAGTCCAGCATCCATTTTCCTTAGTCGACGGCATAATCATGCGACTACTATTTTCAGAAAAGTACTTAAAATTTTATATTTATTATCAAATTAAATCTTTTAATAGTGTTATATTTCGAGCCGGATAATCTAAGCAAATTGATTTAGTTAACTTAATAATTTACTTATTTTTATATTTGACTAATTTAAAATTATAAATATGGTATACTTTTATTATCTGGCAAAACAATACTTCTATTAATAAAACAACATTAGATCTAAATTTGATGTTAGTTCACACAAGTGACAAATAATAACTATGGCTTATTGCAAAATTTTGTATAATACTCTCCCGTTCTTAATGTAACTAAAGAGTTAATGTTGGTTCTATATATAAAATCTATTTTATATGTTTATTAATTTTCTTATTGAATTAATCTTACTGATATTCTCTCAACAATAATCAAGTAGAAAAAGAAGAGAGGGAATTAAAGATAGGGAAAATTACTAACAGGTCCCACAGAAGGCAATTTATTGCTCTGAGGTCCCACGAAATGTCAAAATCATTGACAGGTCCCAAGGGACCTCAGAGTAATATTTTCGTTTTGTAAAATGACATTACTGCCCCTCATATTCCAGATTCAGATTTGCTCTGTCATTACGATTTACAACCTCAGCAGCGACTATTAACAACCTAATGAGAGGGCGTTAACAACCCTAGCAGTATCCGTTAACAACTTACTTTATAGAATTATATAACCTCTACATAAGAGTAAATTATAACCAAATAATATAATACAGCAACTTTAACACTAAAATGGGATTATAGTAATATTTTAATGCGAATATCCATTTACAACCTCAACAGTGACTATTAACAACCGAATGAGAAGGCATTAACAACCTAAGCAGTATCAGTTAACAACTTACTTTATAGAATATATAACTTCCGCATAAGAGTAAATTATAACCAAATAGTATAATACAACAACTTTAATACTAAAATGGGAAGCTTTTTAATATCATTAAGAATTTTAACTAAACCCAATAGGATTATAGCAACATTTTAATGCGAAGATCCATTTACAACCTCAATGGTGAGTATTAATAACCCAAAGAGAGCTGTTGACAATCTAGGCAGTATCTATTAACAATTGACTTTATAGGATAATATAACCTCTAACAACTATATAAGATTAACTTTAAGACTATTTAGTTATAGTTTAGTTAGTTATAGTTAGAAGTTATATTATCCGATAAAGTTAGTTGTTAACAGACACTGCTAAGGTTGTTAACAATTCTCCTTAGGTTATTAATACTTACTGTTGAGGTTGTAAATGGATTTTCGCATTAAAATGTTGCTATAATCCTATTGGGTTTGGTTAAAATTCTTAATGATATCAAAAAGCTTCCCATTTTAGTGTTAAAGTTGTTGTATTATACTATTTGGTTATAATTTACTCTTACGCGGAGGTTATATAATTCTATAAAATAAGTTGTTAACGGATACTGCTTAGGTTGTTAATGCCTTCTCATTCGGTTGTTAATAGTCGCTATTGAGGTTGTAAATGGATTTTCGCATTAAAATATTACTATAATCCTATTGGATTTAGTTAAAATTCTTAATGATATCAAAAAGCTTCCCATTTTAGTGTTAAAGTTGTTGTATTATACTATTTGGTTATAATTTACTCTTATGCAGAGGTTATATAATTCTATAAAGTAAGTTGTTAACGATTACTGCTTAGGTTGTTAATGCCCTCTCATTCGGTTGTTAATAATCGCTGTTGAGATTGTAAATGGATATTCGCATTAAAATATGGGAAAATCCCAAAAAAGGTCCTTGGAATATGGGAAATGCCAGATTGGGTCCTTAAATTTCGAAAATGACAGAATGGGTCATTGACCCAATCTGTCATTTGTGAAATTCAGGCGAATTGACAATTTTGCCCTCATTTATTCATTCACTACAATGATTCAAGGAATCACTATAAGAGTTTAGGTGTTACCTAGATTCGTATAGCGAATAACTATTCACTTTTTCATAGTCAGGTGTCTTGTTATTAACTACAACTAATGCTGTAATCACTAGAACAATATAAGCATTACCTAGATTTGTGTAGAGAATAACTACTCATTTTTTCATAGTCAGGTATCTTATTATTGTCAGGTACCTTATTATTAACTACAACGAATCTTGTAATCACTAGAACAGTATAAGCGTTACCTAGATTTGTTTAGAGAATAACTACTCACTTTTGCTCAGGGGCAAAAATGTCAATTCGCCTGAATTTCACAAATGACAAATTGGGTCAATGACCCATTCTGTCATTTTCGAAATTTAAGGGCCCAATCTGGGATTTGGTATATTCCAAGGGCTTTTTCTGGGATTTTCCCTTAAAATATTACTATAATCCTATTGAATCTAGTTAAAATTCTTAATGATATCAAAAAGCTTCCCATTTTAGTGTTAAAGTTGTTGTATTATATTATTTGGTTATAATTTACTCTTATGTAGAGGTTATATAATTCTATAAAGTAAGTTGTTAACGGATACTGCTAGGGTTGTTAACGCCCTCTCATTAGGTTGTTAATAGTCGCTGCTGAGGTTGTAAATCGTAATGACAGAGCAAATCTGAATCTGGAATATGAGGGGCAGTAATGTCATTTTACAAAACGAAAATATTACTCTGAGGTCCCTTGGGACCTGTCAGTGATTTTCACATTTCGTGGGACCTCAGAGTAATAAATTGCCTTCTGTGAGACCTGTTAGTGATTTTCCCTTAAAGATAATGCTTAAGGTATTTTAAAAAAAACACATCATATTAACTAATTTAACTATCATCTTTAATCTATTCAAATTAATTAATCAAGTATTACTTTAAGAATCAAATGAGTATATTAATGTTAATATATTGAAATTGATAATGTACTTATTGATATCTAATTAAAAACATTGAAATTCTTCATGGCTAAAATTATTTTATAATGATTATAACTTTTTGGATAATCAATATTATTGACATACCACTAGTATAAAAATGGTAACAAACCATACTATTAGAAACCAAACTATAATATTAAAAATAATTTTATGATATATCAAGTAAATACATAATTAAAATTTTATATTGACTTGCATAAAAATAATTTCAGATTTTTTGTTTAACCGAACACCCTCTTGTTGCCGAGGCGGGCCTTTAGCTTTAGCTTTAGCCGCCTACTACTTAAAAGTAATATTCTAAATTCCAGAAGATTTGGGTCCTTAGCTGTAATTTCACGAGAATAAATACCCGTGTTTTGCTGCGCTGATGGCGACGTCAACTTTCGCTCGACCACCAAAGACCAAACAAAAGCGTCAAAGAGACAGAGCACGCGCGTCTTCGTCACTCTCAGGCAGCTCAACCACGTGTTCTTTCTCCCTCCTCCTCACTCTCTCTCTCTGTTGCCAAATTAGGATTTCACAAACACGTCCTCTCCATCATGACCTCCTCTTCCTTCTTCTTCCTAACCTTGCCCCCACAATCATGTCCTTGGACCCTTCGTCTTCCTCATTTCTTCCTCATCTTCTTCTACCATGAGACCTCCTCCTTGTAAGTCCTCTCCTCGACACCCTTCTTTACTCTTCACCTCCGTTGTCACTTTGTCTGTCTTATCCCTCGCTATCGTCCTCCTCTACAAGGTGATTTCTCTTCAAATCTACTCTCTTTTTGTCTTTTCATCCATTGGGGTTCGTCCTCTTTTCGTTTCTGATTTCTTTTTTTGGAGATTCGATTAGGTAGACAACTTCGTCTCCCAGACCAAGACGGTAGTGGGTCACAACTTGGAACCAACGCCCTGGCATCAATTCCCGCCCAAGTCGTTCGATGAAGAAACCCGCCATGCTCGTGCCTACAAAATCATACAGTGTTCTTACCTTACTTGTCGTTACAGAACCGGCGATACAGTCCCGGAGCGACGTCGTTTCCCAGCGTCATCTGGGTCGAACCGGACCAAGTGCCCCGAGTTCTTCAGCTCGATCTATCGGGATCTGAAGCCTTGGGCTGCCTCTAAGATATCAAAGGCTCATTTATTAGAAGCTCAGAACTACGCAGCTTTTCGGGTGCTCGTTGTTGGGGGAAAATTGTATGTGGATTTGTACTATGCTTGCGTGCAGAGCAGAGCAATGTTTACTATTTGGGGTTTGTTGCAGCTTCTTAGGAGATATCCTGGGATGGTGCCTGATGTGGACATAATGTTTGATTGTATGGATAAGCCTACTATTAAGCGGACGGAACACCAGTCGATGCCTTTGCCTCTGTTTCGATATTGCACAACCAATGAACATTTTGACATCCCTTTCCCTGATTGGTCTTTCTGGGGTTGGTAAGACTTCCTCTGCTATTTTGCCTAGTTTTATTAGAATTATAATATTTCAGTCATAAAATTATTTCTCTGCACAAATTAATCCAGCTAAGAGATCGATAGGTAGAGAGTTTCAAACTTTGGGTGACGAAAATCAGAGGCAAATTTTACAATTTTCTAATAATTTTGTGTCATTTGGTGCTAAAATAAAGCTTCATCATGGGTCCTCTGGCTATAGATGTTCTATGTTTATCCCTGGATTGGTAGCTTGGACAAGTTATAGCTCATGTGGATGGAGAAAATCACGTTTGATGTCTTTTTTTCTTTGATCTAGTTTTAGTCCAAGTGCTGAGTTTTGATAGTTTTGTTTGCTGATGACATCTGTGTAGAAGCACGCTATATTCTTTTGAATGTAGATTGCATATATCTTAATGAAAAAGTAGGACAAAAAAGGCAGAAAGTAATGAAGGCGTGAGAGCAGTTTGATGTCAAGTGAGGTGCCAAAGAGCATCTTAGTTGCTGATGGATTTCCAAGTCTCTTACTACAGAAATTTCATTGGTATGACTGACCTCATGTTATGTCCTTCATGCACAGGTCAGAGATTAACATCCGACCATGGCATGAGGAGTTCCCAGATATCAAGCGAGGTTCCCAAACTGTACCTTGGAATAATAGGCAGCCATTTGCATATTGGAAAGGAAACCCAGATGTTGGCTCTCCTGTTCGTATGGCATTACTAGAATGTAATGATACTGCAATGTGGGGAGCGCAAATTTTGCGTCAGGTTGTGTTAAACTTGCCATCCAAAATTGGTCCTTAAACACTTGACCGTATAAATGTGCTTTATATCAAAGCGTGCTAACCGATGTATTTTGATATTTGCTACAGAATTGGAGTGAACAAGCTAAAACTGGTTTTAAGGAGTCAAAGCTTTCAAGTCAGTGTAATCATAAGTGAGTACACTTATTGTGATGTTAATACATAAGGAAGATAAATGTGCATGTCATTTGCATTATTAAATGTCCATTTCACTTTTATATCTTGAATGTTTTCATAGTGTTAAGAGGCTACTGTTGGAATTTAGTTGAATGTTTTAGCTTTGAAATGTAAACTAATCTCAATAAATGAAACTGGTGGAAGAACAAGAGAAACATGCTTTCAACAATGATCATCATCTTTGCCCTGTCCTTGATTTCTTCTCGTTCCCTTTCACTATCTCTTTCAGGTACAAGATCTATGCTGAAGGATATGCATGGTCAGTGAGCCTGAAATATATCCTTGCGTGTGGTTCTGTTGCACTAATGATATCACCGCAGTATCAAGATTTTTTCACCCGCGGTCTTATTCCACAAAACAACTTCTGGCTAGTTGATGCTTTTGATTTATGTCCCTCTATAAAGCGTGCTGTTGACTGGGGCAATGGCCACCCAGCTGAGGTAATTTTTATATGTGGTCTTATCATTTTGTTTTACCCTCCTGACTGATAGAAATGCTACTCCTTTTCTTCAACTCACTGATATAATAATAAAGGGGAAGGTGTGAACTTGTCTTAATAGTCTCAAGACATGAAAATTAGGAAGAGTATGAACTACATGTTGTTCAACTGGTTTGGGAGACTGTGATACTGCATGCATATCAGTGGTTCCTGATTTGATCAAGCCTAACTTTTTGTTTTCTCTCTAGTGTTTTGCTCCATACCTATAATTTGGATAAAAACACTTATTGGATTTTGCTACTTAACATTGGGAAGATGTATAGAAATAGAGTTTATTAAACCAAGTAAATAAGCAACAGAAGAATCCTTTTAAACTTCTACAGATTACACTTTTATTGAAGTCACATTTATTCCCCCTAAATGCTACAATGTAATGACAAATTTGCTTCTGGGAATTAATCAAAGCACCTTGGAGGGATGCACTTGGCAATTAACGGATCCCTCTCCTGAAGAATGTCTCCTGGGATTACAGAAAATTTAGAGATTAGAAATGAATTTTTGGTTTCACTTGTGTGAACAGACTTCATGTCTTATGGACAGAATCAGAAGAATAATGTCCCTTCGTGTAGGTGTATGAGCTTTATAATTAAAAGACAGCATTTTGTTTCTAATACATCTAATTGACTGGTTAGTGATGAGCTTGTCTGTTCACTATAGGGACTGTGGTCAATCAGTTTGCTGACCCATTGAATTAGTACTGCTTCCGATCCTAAATGTAAGAATTAGGTATTTAATTCATATACAAAAAGAAAATTAGTTGTAAGTTAGTTATCTGTAAAAAATGTATGTTGGTTTCTCTAAAGCATCCTTTTTGATTATTTGCATAAAATACTGCCCCCATTGATGGAAACCCCTTTTAACTTGAGCAAACAAGGGGCATAGTTTGAGAAATAAATATTAATTTGGGAGATAAAGTGGAATGAAGTCTAATATTTAGAACCAAAGTAAACTCTTTAATTAGCTCCTATATTTAGGATGGGAGGGAGTAACTCTTTTCATCTACATGTAGGCAACTTGTTCAGTGAATCAGCAAACTGTTTGCCTCTCCGACTTGGCTTTGTTATTTAGATTTTTGAACTTTTCTCAGCACTTAAAATTGTTGGTTTTACATTTAAACTTGGTATTTTGTAAACAATACCAATTAACTTGGTTCATTTTCGTGTTGCTACAGGCTGAGGCTTTAGGCAAAAGAGGGCAACAATTAATGGAATCTCTGAACATGGATAGAGTTTATGATTACATGTTTCATCTTATTTCTGAATATGCAAAACTGCAAGACTTCACACCTACGCTGCCTTCATCAGCCATGGAAGTTTGTCCGGAGTCCGTGCTGTGCTATGCCGATGACAAGCAAACACCATTCCTCAAAAGATCAACTGTCTTCCCTTCACAATCTCCTCCCTGTACTCTTCCACCTCCCAAGACTGATCATCCATAGTGTAAGCTTGAAAGCCCCTAACCTTTTTCAGAAATGGGGGAAAACAGCTGCCAGTTTCAGAGAAATAGATATGTTACAGTTCCTTAACACTTATACAATCATGCATTAGATCTGTAGAAGGTCTGGATGATATTTTGCGAGAGTCTAGTACTTGGATAGTTGATCTCATTTGACTCGCCACCATATTGAATGTAAACTCACACGTGATTATCTCTTTGAAATTTATACCTTTTTAAAGAAATTTAGAAGATCAAAATTACTGGAAAGGAGATTTAGAACATCAAAGAGGATGAAATCACTGTGGACTTGTTTTGTGCTGATGTGGAAGAAGTAAACTGAGCCTTAAATTTTGTTAAATCTTAAGTGCCTTTTTTTTTTGGTCATCAAGGTTTTCCTTTACAAGTTCGATCAACTTGAGGGAGCAGAATAATGACTTTTTTCCCCCCGTTGGCTCTTCACAGGATCAATTTTCTAACTTCACTCCGCCAACTTTATATATCCCCTCCGCTCATATCTATCAATGAACTTCACTTTATTTTTATGGTTGGTGGAAGTGATGATTATCGAACTGATCTTATGATAAGATGCTTGAGCACTGGGCTATTTGTTTAACTCATTCTTCAACTAAAGTATTCAAAATGGAATGATGAGTTGGAGGATAACAAAGGGGTCAATATGCCATTCACTTAGAGAAGCTCTTACTTGCTCAAGCTGGCTTGTGAAGAGTGTTCATAATATGGATATGGAAAAGTTAATGTGCAAGACTATGGGGGTGTTTGGATTGAATCAAAATCATAGTTTTAAAAGTGATTTTACAATATACGAAGTAAATATGTGGAAGAATTTATCTTGATTGGCGAAAAAAGTATTTTTAAAAAGCACTTTTCATGGTATGCAAAACACTTCTATAACTTTTTTAATTTTTATCAGGATTTATGGTTTCATTAATTTTTAACCAGATTTTTATAAATTTTTCTCTTAATTAGTCACTTGAAACTACGAGGGGTCCGGTTAAAAATCAAGTGACGTTACAAAAATATGATAAAAGGAAAAATAATATGGACTGGATTAAAAATTAGTGAGACTATGAGGATTTGATAAGAAGCAAAAAAAAAAAAAAACTACAGGACCTGGTTATAAATAAAATAAAACTAAAGAGACTTGCATATTAATTTTTTTTTTCAATAAATACTGAATTCAAATATTTGTTTATTTGAATTTCAAAGTCCTTATTTCTAGCCTGGGCTTCTTCATTGTATTCTAGAAGGGAAAAAAAAGGGCCAATATGTTGAATCCACACAAATAAAGTTTATGTTTTGTGTTTGCTCAAGGATTAATATTTCTAGCGTTTGAGATTGCACGCCAATAAAGCAAGACTGTATAACTTGTAATATCAAACATGTGTTACATTATGGGTTAAATAATAAATTATACTACCTCTGATTCAGATGGATAATTAATTTACGAATATTACAAAAAATTATATAAGCTAGTTGTTTGTAAGAAATGTGTATTAGCTTTCCTAAACTATCATTTGTTATCATGTGCACTAAAACTATCGCTTGATGGGAATTTCTAATGCACTACCTCTGTTCCTTAATATAAAAACTAATTTGATTTTTATTTTGATCTTAAATATGAGATGCAAATTCACTTTGTATCTTATATTTATTGTTTTTTTAAGGTAGTCTAGTAATGATAGTTCTAGTTAATACAATTAATTAGTAATAATATTTTAAGAGCTGGTAAAAAAAAAGATATCTTAGGACAGATAACACCTATTTATTACAAATAACTAACTTAACAAGTTTTTCTTAATCTACTCAAATTAATCAACTAGTTCTTATATTAAAGACCCAAGTTGGTATAATTTATGGAAATACTTTGAGGAAAGATTATAAATTTGGAAGACAAAAAGAACAAGGGTTTTTATATTTAGGATTAAATTCAACTTTAACTAGCTCTTATATTAAAGATCGAAAATAGTACTGTTTAAGAAGATAATCAAAACAAAAAAAAAAAGATTTATTAAATTTAACAAAGAAAGTAAGAATAAGATTGATTCAATTATATTTGCCAACAAGACAATCAAAAGAAGAAAGTGAATGAGATTTAGTTAACAAGAATATGATGTGATAGTGAGAGGCATATAATTGGCATATGTGCTGAAATTGGGCATAATTAATGGTGAATTCTCAAAGGGGTTGAAATTGCAGGACCACATAAACAATAATTTAGTATCTTAATCTAAATGGAAGCTTTCTATGTGTGTTTGAATTATTGCATGCTTTTGATCGAGACGTGCTTTTCAAGCTAATAATATTTATCTTTTTGAAAAAAAATTGACTATACGTACCTATTCTATTGCCTATTTTAATTAATAAATGCAAAAAACAAAAAACAAAAAAGAAAGAAAGATGTGATTGACCCAAGTCTCTCTCATATCTTATTCCAGATCCTTTTCAAGGGCGCACTAAAGACAATATTTTTTTTTTTAAAATTAAAAATTGGGCCTTCGAAATGTATTTCAAGCAGTTGAGGGGAAATGTATATCTTAATATGTTGGCAGAAAAATGTGTATCTTAATAATTTTTATACAATTATTTGATATTTAATATTATCATGTAATATTTAAATATTACTATGTCTAATAGAGGATAATTTTACAATATGATTATTTTTATTAATAAAGTTCAAGTCCTGAATTTGAACTTTTTTATCCGGTCGGGAGCAATTTTACTTGCATAATTTTTTTTATATTGACAAAATTATAATATCTCACTTCAAAAGAAGGGAATCAATCTCCTTTCACTTTTTTAATTATTGATCAAAAGATCGGGACTGGCTCAAAAATAAAAATTTGTTAATTAAAATTTTTTTCAATGAAGTGCAAGTTCTCCTCTTTTTTTTTAATAAAATTGATAAATCCTTTTTCTTTCTGTTTTGAATATTTTCAACCCATTGAAAATTATTTTTTTGAAATTGGATGTGAAAAAATAAAAATACATCATTGAAAATTTCAGATTTTACTGAAGAAAAGAGAAAAGAGATTGAGAAAAAAGAGAAAGAAAGGCATCTAGAAATGATAGCATAATTGGTTGGATATTCATGCCCTAATTACTTGTTAGATTCTCAATATAAGAATTATTTAATTAATTTAGATAAATTGAAAAAAATAGATAATATAGTTAATCATAACAAACGTAATTTGATTTTTCTAAAATATTTACATGTAATATTAAATTAATATTAGCTCATAAATTTAGTAAATTAGTTCTGATAAAAAAAATAATAAATATAAAAGATTAAAGTGAGAAAAATCTTATATGCAAGACTCAAAACAACTCTAAAACTAATTTTTATATTTATGATTGAAAGAATATATTATAATGGGTTAAGATGTATTCAACATTTCAAAATATTTTTCAGATATATTCAATACTTTAAAACATTTTGTAATACATTCAACACTTTAGAATAGTTTTTCAAGTGCACCTAATACCAAGGTAAAAAAAAAAAAAACACCAATACCTTAAAGTATTTTTTTGTGTATCTGACGTTCTAAAGTATTTTGAAGCACTTAAGGCAAAAAAAAAATATTTTAGAATATTAGACATACCCGAAAAATATTTTAAGAAATTGAATACATCACAAAATATTTTAAGATGCTAAATATAGTTAAAAAAACATTTTGAAGTGTTAATGCAGTTTAATGTTATTATAATTTGTGTGGTGAAAAAGAGGAAAGGAAAAGCTGTACCTAATTTGTATCTTTTAAGATTATAAAATTATAGTAAAACAGAGCAGTGGAGAATTTTTTTTTTTTTTGGACCGGAAATAGCAGTGGAGAATGTGACTTTTAATTATTTATACTATTTGGGAAATAAATAAAAGGCGGGGAATGAAATGGGTCCCATGGGTAGATATTTTGGGATCGGCTGGCTTCCCGCCCATTAAGGCCGTGTTTGTCCCCTTCCCAAACCCCAAAAAAAAAAATCAAAAAGAAAAAAAAAATTCAGTGAAGAAAAAGCGACAGCGAAATATATACATATATATAATTTTTTTCAATGCCAAAGCGAAAAGAAAATTCTTTGCAATAAGTAATATATAGAGTACATATATAATAATCTGATAGAATTTTAAAAATGAAGGTTATATTAATTCTCATTGTATTAATTGAAAAATTAAAACTTAAAATTCAAATGATACAAAAATAGAGAAGAAATAAGAATAAAAATACTAATGATATAGTAATAACATAGAAACTTGCAGCTTAATATATTCTGTCTTACTCACATACTTGTATATAATGAATTAGTTAAAATACATTATTTACAATTAATTTATAATTTGGGAATTAGAAATAAGCACAAATTTAAAAAGTTAATAAATACAAATATCTTCAATTTTTAAATCTTTGTGCATGACTTTAGTACTTTTTTTATAATTATTTGATTAAGTCATATTCAAATATTATCATATTCAAGCGAGATAACTCTCTAATATTTTTTTTTTTTGGGCATTCATGCAAAATTGTTATGTCACTGTGTCATTGTTTCTTAGTGCATTTTCCACCAACTTTTCGGTAATTATGGTTGAAATTTCATTTTATCAGTGAATTTTGGTATGGCAATTGTAAACTCTCTTTCTATGACTATTTTTTTTTTTTGCAATAAAAAAACTTGCATAGATTTTTGTCCTATTAACTATTAGATTTTGCAGCATCAGTTGTAAATTTTCCCTATACATAATTATTAATTTTTTTTTAGAAAAACTCCTGTAAATCTTTATTTACAGGATCACTTTGCTCATTGCAAGTTTTTTTAAGGAGGTTTTCAATGCAAATGACTAAATATTACAAAAAAATCAACATACATTTTTAACAAATAACTAGTATAACTAATTTCATTAATTTATGCAAAATTTAACAATCTCTGATTTTTAATATAAAATAATTTAGGAATATTAAAAAATTAGTTGAGTTGGTTTTTTGTAACAAATAGGTATTGGCTTCTCTAGAGTATCCTAATTAATTATATGCATTGCAGCTACTTCTTGATAAAAACCCTTTACAATTAATAAGATATTTAGGAAAAAAATTATAAAGTTGGAAAATAAAGTGAATTGAAATTTTATTAAAACCAAATTCAACTTCAACGAACCTTTATATTAAGATCTAAAGGTAGTATCTACTGATATTTAACTTGTAGTATTAGCAAGAAATAAGTTACTTCCTAAATTTCTAGTATTTACTTGTAATTCTACCATATATAAATTAGGGAAAATTTCAGTTAACCTTCTTTTAGGCAGTTAGTTTTCATCTCCCCAAAAAAATTGAAATTTCACCGCACTTTCAA